TTAACAATGGTGCTGAAAACTGTGAATAAATCCCATGTCTAGAAAGTCACAATTGCTCCAGATAAATGAAATGTGTTCACAGTCACAAATTTACCATATTTAAGGCTGCGTGTTTTTCTTATAGAAAGATGTTTGCTAATTATACATTGCTGATTTATACATTTCTTTACACATGTTTATAAATTCCAGACCAGTAAAAAAACAATCTCTTCAGGAAAAAGGTGATCTCAGCAGATGGGTGTTGCTCTGAGCACCAAAAGTTCTGTGCCTGCCAGATGGAGAGATGGCAGTCTGGCCTTAAATACGGAATGGCATATGTGTTTGGCAGGCCACTTTTAAAAAAAACATAAAGGGCAATATGGTAATAAGCATGGATGATGCACTTAGGCAATTTACAATGTTGCTCCACCAAAACCTAAAATTCAGGAATGGAGCTGATACAGGCAGATTGGAATACTGGCTTATTCTAGCTCTTAGGTCTCTTCTGGAAACATAACTTCACTACAGAACAGTCAGTGAAAAGGAGACTGTTTTTATGCCTGGATTCACACCATTGTCCATTACATTTAGATTGCATGGATGCCCAATAAATGCACTTAAAGGATAAGTTCACCTTTTTGTAACATGTTACATCCATGTTCAGGGTGTAACAAGTTACAATCAGACCAACCCCACTCCATACAAAGAAAAACAGGGCGCACCAGCCTAGTGCACGATCGTAAAAAATATATGAAGGATAAAAAGTAAGTATCGTATGCACAATTGACATACAGGTCAAAGGCACATCACACTAAACAGCAATGTCCAATCCATACTGCATATAATGGAACCCTGGACTTCCAACAGGCTAATGTGTTTCGAGGACTCAGCCTCTTCCTCAGAGCCAACCTGGGTACCTGACCTGTATGTCAATTGTGAGTATGATACTTACTTTTTTATCCTTCTAATATTTTTTTATGGTAATGCACTAGGCCGGTGCACCCTCTGTTTTTCTTTTGTATCCAGTGAAATTGGACTACCCCGGTCCATTGAGGGCAGCAAGGAGTGCATTTTCCAGGACATCTGAATTGTTAAACTTTGCTGTTTCCATCTCCAAGCGCAGGAGTACAGAGTTTGCTGTGTTTTCCCACTCCCCACTTTGACAGCTAGTGAGGGATCTTCTCCCCCCTCAGTAGCTGTCAAATTTAAAAAAAAAAAAAGCCGCACTCATTCACAGTCATCTGTACAGGAGAGACAAGTCCCAACAGTCTTGGCGGCTGTTAGCTTGTAGTCCGCAATGAACTACCATGGCGCTATGAAGCAGCGTGGTAGTTCATTCATTCTTCCTGTCAGTATATCTGCTTGCTTGTACGTCCCATACAGCAAGCAGGTATACTGACAGGTCTGCAGGAGACCTGCATGGCATCAGTGGTCTGCGGATTGCTGGTGCAATGATGTCCAGGCTCCTGCAGACAAAAATAATGCACATTTTTTTACCTGCAAAGGTTAAGGTGAACTTATCCTTTTAAGTTGATGTACATTTTAAATGCAGTGCACTAATGTGTAGGTTTTTCACAGCAAGAACCAAAATACATTATTTTTTTTTCTCTTCAACAAGCATTGCAGCACGTTGTGATGTATTGTATGGTGTTGCAGCCTGTCTAAATGTAACATTTTCCAATTTCACACCAATGCAAGGCATAGGCCTATTGGAAGCAATGGATCCCACCTTGTTATTGCTATATAGGCCAATGCCCGTGGTGTGAAAGGGACCTCTTGGTGCGTGAAGTTAAGAAGTCAGATGCAAACATTTTTAACCTGGAATCTTTGTGGGAGATAAAGCCCACCAGCAGTCATCCACAACTAGTCTTTGATACCCTGGCACTATCCACTAGTCCCTCACAAGGAATGATGGAGATCTATGATAAATCATATCTAATAGGGCTCAGCAGGCCTATGATGAATATTAATGCTAGCTTGGGCTCACAGGAGAATGACACAGCTCTTTTGCACAGTTATCAGGGAATGGGGAGATGACTACCTTTTTACTTGAAATAGTGCTTTTGTATTTCCTTCTGCAGTTCCTGTGCCCTCTCCCCACCCTCCCAGTTAAATGATAACTGTACTTTGTGAATGATACAGACACAAACAGTTACAATAGTTACTATAAGTGATGGTTCATACTATGAATCGCACAGGAATGTGCTGCGAGTTCCTGTGCGATTCACAAGCAATCTGGATGCAATGCGATTTCAGCTCATTCATTTGAAGGGACTGAAATCGCACTTGACTGCACCAAAAGTAGTGCGAGCACTTCTTTACAAAACACAGAGCAACTAGATTGCATTTTGCACGTGGTGCAGGAAATGCACATGGAACATGAGTTTCCAGCACCACGTTCTGGTGTGAACAGGCCCTAAGACTATTCATATTTTTACAATTCCAAAGTCACACAATTTCCAGTGCAACTTTGTATCAACTTTGTGCTGACTGTACACTGTCTGATCAAAGTTGCCTCAAAGTAATGCAGGCACCTTTTCAAAGTCTTTACAACTTTAAGTTGCACCATTTTGAATGACTGCCATTGAAAAGAATAGGTTGCAACTTGTCATGCGACTTTTATATCCAAAATCGCACAAGTGTGAATGGAGCCTTAAAGTATAACTAGACAAGTTGTGTTTGAACAGATTTAAAAATATACACAAGCCCTCTACTAAGGTGATGCACATTAGAGGCTGTTCTGAAATGGTTTCCACCTATTAAAGGGTTAACCCACCTTTTAGTGGATGTTGGAGTGATAAACCTCTTATGGACTCTTTGTAAGATCTCTGCTCTGAGTTCTTGGGTTTTGTTATGGTGAATATCCAAAACTTCCTTGTGGACAGGAACAGATATGAAAGAGTTCTCACGACTGAAGTATTAAATCAGTAGGGTACTCTCAATGGGTGCAATGTGTGCTGGGCACACAGAAGCCAAGGGGAATGGGGCCCACTGTATACATTGAGGATTCCTGTGGTCTTTGCTTCTACCAACCTCCCCCCACCAACCATCATCTTTCTGGTGATTGGCAGCTTGGTCCACCAGCCTCCTAATAACCGATGACATGCTTCCCTAGTGTGTGTAGCAGCACGAAACTTCAAGCTCTGCCTCCCCTGACTTCAGCTCTCATTTCCTTTGCTCCCAGCAGCTCCTGCCCTGTAAGATAAGGAGGCTGGGTCCCCTAATCTGGGGAGGGGTCTCTAATTAAGGGAGGGGGGGGGGCAGGAGTCCAATGTAGAGGGGTGGGGATGTAAAAGTAAAGGGACTTTTCTTTAAATGATTGTGCTGAGTATTGTTAATGTCAGACTCTGGTTTAATGTAACCATGCCCCTTTTAGGGCCCTTCCATTGTTAGCACACCCATTCTTCAGAGTAAACTTTACAGCTTTATTACTGAAGGTTGTTTGGTACGGGTTGGTACGGTATGGTATGGTTCTCCCTTGTTACAGGTCCACGCTGGGGCCCAACTTGTGTTCAAGCACACAGGCCTATTGCATTCAAAAAATGCCTCTGCATCAAATGCATATATAAAGCCAAGGGCCGCTTTTGTCTATCAGGCTCTACCTATAACCTTAATCTTTCTTTTGGGTGGACTGATGCTTAGAATTGTATAAAATTATATTAACACTTTTTACAGTAAGTATTATTTCTAAGGTGCTGGAAGACAGTTTTCCATTAAATTCTCGTTTTAAGTTTACCCACAAGAGTTTAGTGGTGTCTATACACAAGGCAAAGATATTTAAGAAATATTGTGCTCTACTGCTGTGCCCTCTACTCTGCTTTTCCTCCATTTTGGTATAATTGGAAAAACGAAACATAAAATATGAATATCCTAATATTTTGTTTTATTGTTCTTTAGATAGCTGTGGATAGTACAAATCGCTCTGTATGGTAGGTTTTTGTGTTCTGATGACTGAAATCATGATAATAAAAAAACCCTTTTCTAATATTTTCTTACAATTACTCCAAATGGGTACAAAGAAGCTAGAGGCTTTTTCCACAGACATCTACCGATTTCTGCTTTTGGTTAATACTAATTAATGTCATAGATTAAAATCTCTATTTAGAAGACTGGTGCATCTATTTCGCCCTACATCAAGAGACTGCATACCAGGTCTTCATGTTCTATAGTTTCTATGACGGGTAAACATCTTTCTCTAATCATATATCCATATGTATATATTATATGTAATAAATATTTTCCTTTTTTAAGATTTTTACAGAAAAAATGAATTGCTCTTAATAAATCCAAACTACTTCAGATTGAACAACATTCATCGCGTGAAACAGACAAATACAATTGAATACTTCAGAGTACAACAGACATTATACATGATAATTTCTGATACATAAGTTTAAACAATATGGACAAACTACCATTATAGCCAGAATACAGACCTTCAATTTTCCTCGATTAGGAGAGTTTTTTTTGTTTTTTTGAATGTTTTATAATTTTAGTAATAGCAATACTTGTGGAGTCTCTGAACTTTAGAGTGATTTTTTATTTTTACTCTAGAAAAAGTAATTATAATGTTTCTCTCTTTAAAATACCCAATCTCACACAAATTCCAGAAAGTTCTTCACAAATTCCAGAAGTTCCATAGTCATCATTCTGGGCGTTCTCCATCTCCAAATAGTAAAAGCTCTCCATCAAGAAAAATCCCACAACTTTGATGTTGGGTGCTGTCCATTAAAACCAACAGTCACTGCCTTATTACATATTGATAGCTTTATTTTTAACAAAAGTATATTTTCTTGGATCTTAAGTGCAGCGCGTTTTCCGTTTTTTTTTTTTATTAAAATGTAAAGTAAAGTTGTCTATATCTGCAGGTGTTTTTTTTTTTTATTATAATGGTAATGAGGGCACATGGTAGTCATTCAGCCCAGACAGACCTTGCAGAAGGACAGCAAAGTTTTGGCAGCCGTTATTTTCGGTTTTGTTCCATCCTACTGTTTTGGTCAGTTCATGGCAGCTAGATTTAGCTACGATTCATCAGAGCGGATGACATGGAACAGGGTGACATTGTAGAGGACTTGGTGGCCATTGTTCCAGGCATACAGAGCCCGGTCCTTGGGATTGTAGTCCAACATGGAGATGTGTGAATACTTGTTTTGAAATGGGATGTCAATGTATTCATAGTTGGAGGTGTTCGTCTGATAGGCGTAGTGCACTTTGGTGCCACCAGAATAACCATTAGTAACATATAGAGTCCCACAGATCATGAAGGCTTCTCCGGCACTTCTTTTGGGGTATCCTGTATTCCAAGATTTTAGGATCTGTAAAGTATTGGGGTCTAGTTTGCTGATGACTATGTTACCAGCATTTTGGTTGGTGGCATAAACCACCCATAACCCATTCTCATCTACCATGAGGTCAATGTCTGACTGGCCACCCCATGCATAGTGGTAGACATTTGTGTACCCAGCAGAGTCCAGGCTGCGTGTTTTCAGAATTGTCTCTGATTTTAGGTCAAAGCGGATGATAATGTGACTTTGGAATTTGTTGAAATAGATGGATCCATTATATACAACCTGGCCTGTCCCCGACCAAGGGTGAGGGAGACGGTGAGAGGTAAAGTTGTCACTGTTCATAAAGTCCTCCATTGACTTGTACTCCCGGACGAAGCGGTTATTGTGATAGCCATCCATATACCAGACCTGGAAAACCAATACATAACATTAGCTCTGTAGGACAACATTTTCATTGACTTACATCAGGGACACTAAAGAGACGTTGACATTTCGTAATGAAGGCAATAAAGAAAAAAATTCTCTGTGTCAATGCGTTTCCTCCAAATCTTTTCAGATTTCACCCACCCCTGCAGTGATACCTAGGAGGAATGCACACCTCTTTCCATAAACATTAACATATGACATTTAAAACTGAAATGTCACTGGCAGATTTCCCTGCAGTACCGTTATCCCCAGTGCGGAGTGGCGGTGTGTTTACAGTGCCTGTTCAAGTTAACTCGCTCGCTGTGGAATATTTACAGTTTGCACACAATTTTGAGAGGGTCAAGGAGATCACAACCTTAGGCTAAAGTGTTGTTTGGAACGAACTTCCTCCTTCAAAAAAGTTGAAATTCTTAAAGTATATGTAACCCAATCTGTAAATTCTTATATATACAGTATATATTTAACATGTTAAAGTGTACTAAACCAAGGACCCTGCATTCACGTTATCTGTACTGTGGGAGACCACAGAATATGGAAATGCAATTATTTTAGAAAATGTAAACTGCTAAATACCTTTTCTTATTAGCAGTTAGCAAACATTTTAGATTTTTCTTTAAATTTCACTGCTATTGATAATGGTAAACAGGACAACTAGAGTGATTCTCCCTAATGGAGACACTGACAGGTTTTCTAATCCATCTCCACTCTGATTTAACTGTTTCAAAAGAGTTACATTTAAGGCATGCCAGGAATGCTAAATGCTCTCAAATTGTCAAACCATCAAATGGCTGGTGTCATAATTGATCATGTGCAGCATCTTCACAGTTGCAGATCAAACAGAGGCTAAGATGGCAGCTTCCTTGGTTGAAAAAGGATAGGAGGGTTTAGTTCCGCTTTAACAAACTCCTCTTCATCTGTAATAATGGCACAGTGCCACCTACAGGTTGGAGGAATGTTGGCTTGTACCTACAAGCATGCTGTCCACTTTTATCTGTAGTGCTCCCACATAGTAACTCTATCACATACACTTTTCATGGAAGCTACAAGCGCAGCCATGGTCCACTGTTCACACCATCAGGAAACCTGCCCTGAGAAATCCCATGCAACAACTGCTGGAGTGCGGAATATAGCCAGGTAGTGACTACAAAGAGGGAGTGAAGACTGAAAAAATACTTCCTCCTGTAGCACCCTCCTGGTTAGGTGCCAGAATGTGTAGTTAAGCATAGTTTCTCCGTTTACCAGATAGGCACTCAGGTAAATTCAGTGTGGTATTCTTCTTAACAGAGTGCTGTGATTGGTTATTTAGGTCTGCTCATGCTGCTCTGGTGCTGTTGGGGTTTGTCTGAGTTCTGCCCGCCTCCAGGAAGCTGAGAGCCTTCCAGAACATGGGTAAGGTCTAGGAAATTTAACAGCATGAATATGGCCAAGGCTCTGTCTGGGTTTCACTTGGCAGATTGGAAGGTGGCAACTATTCTATCCTTGGGCCTTGTGAATACTGACAATGAGGTACTTGGAGACGCTGTGTGCTTTCTGCCTCACCTGGGGTTTGATAGTCAGCATGGGTCTGAAAAAAGGGGACACTGGCTAGTGTACTGAAGAGCTTGTTCAAGTGTTGCTACTGCAAAGGACTTTGCTTAGCTACATTTACCTTTTTGGGCTGTCGCAGTCTGTCGTAACTAATACCTGAGGAGCTCAGCTAATCTACTTGCTGCTATATGTGATAAAGGGAAGTCTGCTACCTACTGTCAGCCAAGACTTCTACAGTGTTCAACTAGGAGATCAGCTAAATGTCCTCAGTGTGAATTGTTGTGATTTGGAGTATCCTACTACAACTCCCCATTCTTATCCCCAGTTCTACAATAAACATCTCCAAAAACAAAATATCCCCAAGACTGGTCATTGAAGACAACGAGCGGAAGTGTGAGTGTATTTGAAGAAATACACTGTGCTTGGCTGTAGGGTGAAGTAAGGGAAAACCTGGACAACATACAAGCGGCTCCTCCGGGGGTAGCACTACACTCCTGCCAGGAGTAAACTGTTGTCTCAGCCTAGTCAAAGTCACTGACTGAAGATCAAGCAGGGCTTTTTAATGAAAAAATGGGTGGTGCTTTGTCTGAAAAAAAAAAAAAAAAATCAGTTGTTGCACATGACAGACTATAAAGTTACCAAAGGGCTCCTGTTAATATTTTGAAAATTGTGTGATAATCCTGTCCAGTCACGTCGGGAACTGGTAATAACTAAGTTTTTAAAGTGAAGGTACACTCTGAAATTACTTTAGGAACGTTGGACAGCCATATATGTATCTGGATAAATGCATAGCATCATGTATGACTTTGTCCACTCTCTGGTTGTTGGTAATTGGCAGTGGAATGTGCCAGCCATTTACCAGTGACACCCTAAAACTCAGGTTGTTTCTCAGCCCCTTATGTAATTTTCATTTGTAATAGTATCAGAGCATTAAGCAGTTTCCACTCAGGCTATGCAATCCACGGAATATAGATAGCATGGAGAAAGGGGCTGAAGAGTTGTATGGTGTTGATGGTAATAGCTGGCATTTTCCTAAGCAGATTTCTGAAAAATGGGAGCAGACACAGAATTCAAACATGCTGCTATGCATTTAGCAAGGTACATGCTGTTTAATGTTTCTCGAGTAAAAATGCTATGTCCCACCCTGAATCATTGTGTTTTTTGCTGAAATTAGTTGTTTTTTTGTTTTTATTCTCTGACCTTACCTAGGATCTCACTCTTAAGTCCGCTTTCCATTTAGATCAGCAGGGGATCTGTCTGCTGATTAGAGCAGAGTGGGCAGATGACAGGTTAGTGTCCCTTCATTTTAAGGGACACCAACCGATCCCGTCCTGCTCAGTGGACCGGCAGGTGTAAATGGACACCACTATCCATTTACACCCAGCTGCCCTCTGATCCACCTAGATAGGACGGATCTTTTTTTTTTTTTTTTTTTTTTTTATAGCAAACACGATCGGATTGGAGGCAGGCTGGTGTGAATGGACATGAGTCCGTTTTTACACCCATCGGTCCATAGGGGTAAATAGAGAGTCCCATCAGGTCCACCTGAAAAAGTGACAGGTAGGCCTGATTGGACCCTTAGTGTGAAAGGGGCCTTACTCAAGCAAGAATTCTGAGCAAATCTGTCAAAGCAGTGTATGTCAGTATTTTCAAATATTCAGGTAACCAGAAATCTGTTGGATCCTGATGGAATTTCAGTTTATGCAATCTCCTATGGCAACCAAAGTCTCCCTTTCTTCCAATCAAGTCATTGAATGAAAGAATCTTCTTAGTACTTTACCTTGCTGACTCATTGATAGTCAAGGTCTGGTTAGCACAAATGTGTTTGGGGAAGATTAGTTTGAGTCAGGAAACAAGCATTACTTACTCTGTTATCTCCTTCTGGTGCCTGTGGGTCAGTCATCCATGAGCCAAACCTGGACCCAGATGCCTTGATTGTGACTGGTTCACTGATTCCGGTCAACTTGCCACAGGCTGCAAAATACAAAGTTACAAATTAGTTCTGTTCTGGTGTCACTATCACTGATCTACTGTATATTACATGCACAAATCTTAATTGTAAAATTACATTTTTCGTCATATTTTGTGCTTTGTCGTTTATTGCTCCTCTTCAAAGTGTATGTCTACCAATAACTTTTTCTTAAGTTTTGGTTTTGAGTACAGTGGGGATAGTTAGAACCCCTATTAGATTTTATTGATATCCTGGACCCCATTAGAGAAATTTCACCTCACTTTTTGTTCACAAGTGAGGGTTAATTCCCAGTGGCAACAACTGCCAAGAACTAAATTTCAAAAGTTTATTTGAATTTATTATTTATGCATTTTGTGTATGTTTTATTGTATTAACCACTTGCACTCCTGAGGATTTACCCCCCCTTCCTGACCAGGCCTCTTTTTGCTACTCATCGCTGCACTAATTCAACTGATAATTGTGCAGTCATGCAATGCTGCACCCAAATGAAATTTGTCCTTTTTTCCACACAAGTAGAGCTTTCTTTCGGTGGTATTTGATCACCTGTGCGCTTTATTTTTCACGCTATAAACAAAAAAAGACCGAAAGTTTTGAAGAAAAACGATATTTTTTACTTTCAGCTATAAAAAAATATATCTGTTATAAATTTAGGCCAAAATGTATTCTACTACATGTTTTTGGTAAAAAAAATTACAATAAGTGTGTATTGATTTGCTTTGTGTGAAAGTTATAGCGTCTACAAACTATAGTATAGATACTGCAATTTACGCCATTTTTTTGCTATACAGCGTTGTGCTAGTTTAACAGACAATTGCGCGGTCATGCAATATGGTACATAAATAACATTTATGTCCTTTTTTTTTCTCACAAATAGAGCTTTCTTTTGGTGGTATTTGATCACCTGTGCACTTTTTATTTTTGGCGCTATGAACAAACTTTTTGAAGAAAAACATTTTTTTTTAAAACTATTTTCTCATTTCGGTCATAAATATCCAAAAAAAATAAATTCACCAAATTTAGGCCAAAATGTATTCTGCTACATGTTTTTGGTTAAAAAAAATCCCAGTAAGTGTATATTGCTTTGTGTGAAAGTTATAGCGTCTACAAACTATGGTATAGATAATGGAATTTACACAGCTTTTTACTTCCTGACTGCTCATCACATTTCTTGAGGTGCTAAAATACCAGGATAGTACAAACACCCTCAAATGAACCCTTTTTGGAATGTAGACACCCTAAGCTATCTGCTGAGGCATATTAAGTCCATGTAAGATTTTTATTTTTTTTCCACAAGTTTCTGGAAAATGACAAACGTTTTTTTTGTTTTTTTTTTACACAAAGTTGTCATTTAAATGATTTCTCGCACAAGCCATGGATATATGTGGAATTACACCCCAAAATACATTCTGCTACTTCTACCGAGTATGGGGATACCACATGTGAGACTTTTTGGAAGCCTAGCCACATACAGGAGCCTGAAATCCAATAACCACTTTGAAAGCCTGAAGGTGCGCAACTTCCTCATTTCACTTCCTCAATACCTATCATCAGTTTCGAAGGCCCTGACATGCCAAAAGAGGCATGGTGAGTATTTTGCAGATCTCATTTTTTTCTCACAAGGTTTTGAAATATAAAAAATAGAATAGAAAACATTTTTTTCTTAATATCCCAAAAACTTGTGGCAACAAATGAGATCTGCAAAATACTCACCATGCTTCTTATCAAATTCTTTGGGGTGTCTTTCCAAAAAGGGGTAATTTGGGGGGTTAGGTGCTATCCTGGCATTTCATGGTCTCCAAAACCGTGGTAGGTAGTCTAGAAGTGTAATGAGGAAATAAAGCCCTTTAAAAGACTGAAGGTGTTTATTGGATTTTGGGGTCCTGTACTTGGCTAGACTGCCAAAATGTCTCTCACATGTGGTACCCCCATACTCGGGAGAAGTAGCAGAATGTATTTTGGGGAGTAATTCCACATATACCAATGGCATGTGTGAGCAGTAAATCATTTAAGTGACAATTTTGTGTAAAAAAAAAAAAAAAATTGTCATTTTCCAAAAACTTGTGGTAAAAAAATTCAATTCTTCTATTGATTCAACATGCCTCTCAGCAAATAGTTTGGGGTGACTACTTTCCAAAAAGGGGTCGTTTTGGGGGGTGGGGGCATTTTTATGCCCAGCATTAGAAGTTTATGCTACACATTACTCTCTTCTAACCTCCTGAAGATCAAGCCTTTTCTGACACTTTTTGTTCACATGAAGAAAAATCATTTTTTTTGCTAGGAAATTAATTTAAACCCCCAAACATAATTTTTTAAAGCAGACACCCTAGTGAATAAAATGGTGGGTACTACAATTTTTTTATGGCACATAGTACTCGCGGAGCGATTTTTCAAAAGCAATTTTTAAATACTTTTTTTTTTTTTATACTTTTAATGCACAATATATTGGCCAATTATTTGGTAAGATATAAAAGATGATGGTATGTCGAGTAAATAGATACCAAACCTGACATGCTTTAACTGCCCCTGTGCAATGGCACCAAACTGCATACATTTTTAATATCCATAGGCAATGCTTTAAAAGCCTTTAAACGCTACCATTTAGTCTTAGAATTACTGCCCTTGATCTGATGTTTACGGCAATACCTCACATGTATGGTGCAACCGCTGTTTACATACCGGCACAGGGTCAAAGCTTGTGCACACAGGTGTGCGTGTATGGTAGGGGGCAAGGTTTTTTTTTTTTTAACCACTAGCCTACAGGCCACTTATACCCCCTTCCTGCCCAGGCCAATTTCCAGCTTTCAGCGCTGTCACACTTTGACAATTGCGCGGTCATGCAACATTGTACCCACATGAAATTTTTATCATTTTGTGACAGAGCTTTATTTTGGTGGTATTTAATCACCTCTGGGTTTTTTAAAATTTTCTTAAACCAAAAACCACTGAAAATTTTGGAAATAAAATTAGTTTTTGTTATAAAATGTTGTAAATAAGTGATTTTTCTCCTTCAATGAGGTTTCACTGATGGGCACTGACTGGCAGCACTGATGGGCACTGGCAGGTGGCACAGATGGATACCGACAGGTGGCGCTGCTGGGGCTACACAGATCATCAGGGCACACTGATCATCAGTGCTCTGATCTGTGTACATGTCCCCTCCAAGGAATACCGATTACCGGCTCTCCTCTCCTCATTAGCTGTCAGCATGACAGTTCGTGGGGAGAGAAATGCTGATAACCGGCATTTCCCTGTTTTATATGTGATCAGCTGTGATTGGACACAGCTGATCACATGACCGAGCCGACATCTTCGGCTCTTTCCGTGGATCGGTGAAAGAGTTTCGGCTGAACTGCTGCAATACTGACACTCAGTGGCTGAATGTCTCATTGCTATGGGAACTCTGCCATACTGAAGTTTCTATCTGCTCAACCCAGCTCTGATGTAGGGAGCGCCCTTCTAAACGCGTTAGTTTTTATCCCCCCCTTTGGATTTACCTGTAACCCTGTGTGGATATGGTTTACTTATGCCTGTTTACCGTCACCTTTGTGAGTATATTTTATGTTAAATAAAACTAGTCTATTGAGGTAATGCGCAAGGTTTGTGCGCTCTTTCATCCTCTTCTACAGTTTTATCAAGCTTCCCCAGCTTCATGATAGAGCTGCACAACCTCTGATCACCAGCAGATGAACACGCTGTTTGTTACTAATGCCCGTTTTGATCTGAGTGTCCAACACCGCCTGGCGGTACCTCTAGCGATCCACAGGACAGGTCTACCCAGGGCGCAGGGTCTAAGTCCCAGTCTGCTTGTTCACCAGGGCCCCTGATAGTGGGGATGGACTTGGAGCAGACAGTGACCAGGTCACGGCCCCTGAGTACACCTGCCTGTGGTTGAGGGATCCGCCAGAGGTATATACTGGAAGAGAGCCTGATGTGAAGAGGCAGATATGCCTGAGCAGCAGTGACCGGATCCGTGCAGGATGGATGGATGGTAGGGTAGTGCAGCGTAGTCACAGACCGGGTCGGTAACAGTAGGGACAGCACGGTACAGCGCTGCAGACAAAGAGTAGTCAGGTCACACACCAGGTTCAGTAACAGGAGGTCATATAAATAGGGATATCCAAGAGTGGTCAGTCAGTCAGTCAGTCAGTCAGTCAAGGTCAGGATCAAGCAAGGTTGGCAACAAATCAATCAGCAAGAACAGGATAATAAGACCATACGGCAACTTGAGTCTGTGCAGGGCTGGTTTAAATAGTGCGCCCTGCACTGTCATTGGTGCCAGGCGCGCGTCCGTGATCGCAAGTGCGCATGCGCGGCCGCAGCTGCCTAGGTCCTAACGCCTGCCGATTAGAGCGCATTGGCGTTCTGCGCATGCGCAGACCCGTGCGCTGCCGTGACTGCTGACACTGAGTCTTTGAGCTCAGGAGATAATGGATCTTTGATAACCATTCAAAGTCCAGTGATGTACCAGTAGGTCACTGGTCCTTGTTGGGTATAATATGCTATGTTCATTTTTTTTTTTTTTTCTCGTATGCAGCCTGTGGACTCAATGAAAAAGAAATCTCTGCTAGAAAGTGTGTGGCATGCCCACCATTAGTGGCACGCTTGAATAAAAATTGTCCACGTATAAGTGGTACCCCATGTGGAAAAAGGATGACACCCAAGTCCCAAACTATCTTGTCACTGCTCCCCATGTAGTCTGGGCATCCGGGGGGCTCCACGTGACTATCTTTTCCCTCGTAAATCCGAAACTTATAAGTATAACCTGTTGTCCTCTCACAGGTCTTCTGCATCTTGACCCCATATCTGGCACGCTTGCTGGGAAGAAAATTGTTTGAATGCCAGGCAGCCAGAAAAATTAATCAGGGACTCATCAATGCAGATTTGTTGCTGGGGAGTATAGACATTTGCAAATTTTTGGTTAAGGTGATTTGTGAGGGGTTGAATTTTGTGGAGCAGGTCAAATTCAGGGTCACCCGAGGAGGACAGTGTATTGTTGTTGAAA